CTCTAACATTAGACGTGAATCCATGAGAATGCTTGGTTTTAGAATTCGTAACACTAAGCCTTTTAGTACAGTTGATGTATCAAAATTACTCTACGTCACTTATGTTCGCTCCAAACTTGAATACGCTTCTGTCATTTGGAACCCGATTTATAAATATTTAAAAATTGAGATTGAGTCGGTACAAAGAAGATTCCTGAAATTTATGTCATTCAGGTACGATGGGGTCTATCCTCCACAAGGATGTGACAATAGGTTATTAACGGAGCGTTTCCAGTTTCAAACCTTGGAAGATCGAAGAACCATCATGGGACTACGGCTGCTATACAAGTTATTGCATAATGAAGTGGACTGCATAGGATTACTTTCTTCATTAAAATTTCTGGTTCCGAAGTACCACACTCGTCACGTAGACACATTTTACTGTGAGAAGGCGCGCACCAGTTTACTGAAGAGGGCACCTATCCAGCAGATGTGTGACAGTTTTAATAACATTTCTAGTTTGTGCGACATTAATTCACCATGACACTTTATCTCAAATATCAGCCGTGCTTCGTAGTTACATGTCACAGTGAAAATGATTATTTTGTTGTTGTTTAGTTATGTTAAGATTTTGAGTTTTTTGTTGTGTTTCTTTCTTTTTCTTTTTTTTTCTTATTACATTAAATCATTGCGCGTTAACTATTATGTATTGTCCTGTAATTGGTCTGTTCTGTTGGGCAATAAATCTCTATTATTATTATTATTTCTCTTTTCACTAATTTAAATGACTTTTTACAAATCTTCGGACCAGTAAAATTTTGTATCTTTATGTAAAAGTTTGTTTAAGGGAAATAAAATTGTACTAAGATTCCTAAAAAATCTACCATAGTAGTTAACTAGTCCAATAAAAGCTCGTACTTGCTGTATATTTACTGGCCTTGGTGCCTTTTCTATCGCCTCAATTTTTGATTTTATTTTATGTATGCCATGTTTATTTATTAAGTATCCACAATATTCAATATCTTCGGCTAAGAATTTACTCTTACCCAAATTTATTTTTAAATTATGTAGCTGTAATCTTTTTGAAACCTCCTCTAAAATTTGTAAGTGTAATTTTGTGTTTCTTGCTGTAATCTTGATATCATCAATAAAAACTGACACACCAGGAATACCTTGTAAAATTTGTTCTATTGTTCTTTGCCACACTGCTGGTGCATTTGCCAAACCAAACATTAATCTAGTTGGACGATATAATCCCTTATGTGTACTTAACGTAAGAATATCTCTCATCTCTTCCTTCACGTCTAAATGTAAATATGCTTTATTTAGGTCAATTTTTGTAAATTTCTCTCCATTTGCCATTTCTGCAAAAAGTTCATCAATAGTTGGTAAAGGGTGATCATCCACTAAAATATTAGGATTGACTGTAACTTTGTAATCCCCACACAACCGAACCTCTCCATTTGCTTTAAGTACTGGTACTACTACGGTAGCCCATTCAGAGTGATCATTTTTCTAACACCCCTTGTTTTACTAAATTTTCAATCTCTTTATCTACTTTGCCTAACAAAGCAAATGGTACTGTACGTGCTATTATACAGGGTGGTGACTTGCGTAACGCATCATAGGGATTTCAATGTAAAATTCATAACATGCGATTATTGGCTCCCCAAATTATTTTAGAGCAAAAATGTATTAAGGTTTTTTGTAGAAAAAATTTTTTACGTCAATCAACCGCATTACTTTTCAATTTTTTGCATAATAAAGACGGAAAATTGGAAAAATAAAACCCGCACCTTTGCAATAATCTGTGATGCCATGGAATTTTCTAAAACAAAAAGATATCCAGTTATCAATTAGCAGCAGTTCGAAATGGATTTTATGTTCGACTTGGTTACTCTCTTGCAGTTAATGGTTACTTATTCGAACATTTATTATAAATTGTTATAATAGGAAACCGTTTTTCGTAATTTGGTATTTCTTTATGTTGAATTCGCTGTTCTAAATATAATACTTTTTGATAGAATTTGATTTGATTTATAGCTGACGTTCCATGGCATGACGGATATTGGCGTAGTTTTTGTATTATAAAATTCCATGGCATCACAGATTATTGCAAAGGTGCGGGTTTTATTTTTCCAATTTTCCGTCTTTATTATGCAAAAAGTGAAAAGTAATGCGATTGATAGACGTAAAAACAATTTTTCTACAAAAAACCTCAATACATTTTTGCTCTAAAATAATTTGGGGAGCCAATAATCGCATGTTATGAATTTTACATTGAAATCCCTATGATGCGTTATGCAAGTCACCACCCTGTATATCTTGGTTTAACATTAGGTTTTATATGTATTGCAGCTTGTATACCTTGTATTTTACCTATACCTGAACCTAAGATTCCCTTGTATTTATTTAATAATGCTGAAATTTCTGTTTGTACATTATTATTAACTATATCTAACTCTCCCACTTCTAATAACTGTATTTTTAGCTTTCTAATCCATTCTCTACCTAGCAATGAAAGTTTATTTCCTGTAACTATGTAAGCATCTAAATCTCCCTTGAAATCCTCATATACAACATCAACTTTAACATATCCCAATACCTTTAAACTTTGGTTGCAGTAAGATATTAGTTTCAATTGAGTTGGAATTATCTCAAAATCTTGAAAAAATTCTAAGGATGTAGTATAATTTATTATTGCGACAGGACTTCCACTGTCAATTTCAAAATGAATCATCTTATTGTAAACACATAAATCAATATTATTAATATTTTAATTGACATTAATATAAATTAAAATTAATTAATAAATAAAAATAACTTAATATAAACAGCAATAGTAAGAACATTGTCATTCCATTTAAAGTAACTGAGTTTTTAACCTTTGAAGTTTCTTAAAATTGGATCTCCATAGGTGTGGTTGTACGTAACTTAACTTTTTTTTAAGTACACTGATAAAAATGGGTTGCCATGACTACAACCGGTTTCAAGTAATCAATTATCCATCTCATCTGCATCCGCCATTTTTTTTCTTAAAGTCAAAATAACTTAAAAACCATAAATGGCAGATATCAAAAGGTATCAAAATAACTAAAATTTCACGTAAAAATAACAAATTATCAAAGTCCTCGTTTGAGATCGAAGGGACTTCAGCGCATTTTTGTGTGGCAGATCAGTATTCTATTAGCCACTTTCGACTCAACCATCAATAACAGATCTTGTCGAAGGCTACTACATTCACGAACCGCTTCCCACTTTCCGCGTGCACCCGCAATTCGCGTTTGAAGATTTGACTCCACCATCAGTGAGATCGTGTCGCGGGCTACCACATTCTCTTTTACGGTACCCACTTCCGACGTCCCGTTCACTCGCAATTCACTTCTATTGGCGACACGAGAAAGAGAGACAGCGATTCGAGATTCACGAAACGATAAACCGCGTGAGTTCGCAACGGAAGGTAAAAGGCGCCCGAAGTTGACTACTTCTCGAAGACGCGCGCGCGCGCCTCGCAAAAGGTCGTTAATTTCGCCCCTATGACAAAAAACAAAATTCCGCCACGCAGGAGTTGTGCGCGTTTACAACATCTTTCCGACGACACCAATTTCAAAAGAATCGGACCAAAACTGTAGTAGAAGATAGGAAAAAACTGAAAAACCTTCACGTTAGTATACTACGCTCGAGGATGACGCCCAGATGTCGCCAACCCCACATCATGTAGCCATGTCCCTAAGGTTGACAAATTTCACGGCCCTGTAGATACACGTACACCCGTTGCCTTTCTACAAGAGTTCTTCTACTCGCCCACATTTGCTGCCAGCCAGCCAGCCAGCCAGCCAGCCAAAGTGAGATTAAAAGCTACTTTTTACAAATAAATTTGCAAAAATGCGCTAAAAATAGGGGTTGTTATTTAAAATAATGAAGTTACTATCTACTTCCGGTATTTCCGGAAGTGTGGTAATTTTGAAAATATTTTACATCGAATCGCCCTTCAGAGTAACTCCTAACTACAAATTTTCAAAAACCTACCTATTTTACTTTCCCAGAAACGTTTAACTAAAGCTCCCAAAAAAACACCCTGAGGTAAAATGTTGTTTGTTTGTTGTTTGGTTCACACTAGATTTGGAGATTTCTATTTATTGTAATTGTTGTTATGCTATTGTTTTTATTCTATTTGTATTATGGTTTATTTATATTAAGTGATTGGAAGAGTGGTAGACCGCCTTATAGGCGAACTCTTTCCATTTGTAAGTCTGTGCTGCAATAAATGTTATTATTATTATTATTATGGTTATCGCTAAGAAGTAGAGAAAGGGAACTTTATAGGCTGGGAAAAATTATTGCAGACTCAAGAAATGCTAAACTTATTCTTTGTAACGGTTTCTCAACAATAATTAAATCTTTTTTTCAGAAGAAAAGTGCAACCTTTGCCGTACAATCATAAAATTATAACTATGCACTTTCCAATAATCCCTTAGGGGCACTAAAACCATTTGCATTTGGTCTTGAAAACATATTTGGTGGAATGTGTATATTTAGTGAAGTATAATCAGCATTTGTGTTTTTATCTCAGAACTATGGCCAGAGCTTGCATTAACCTTTCGCGATAATATTCACAAATTTAGAACTGTTTATGATCCTCCCAAAACCCTAAGAGAAGTTCCTTTTTGGCGCAGTAATACTGCGTAAAATAGCCAAATGTTTGCGTAAATCAACCAAAACACTGGTCTTGTACGGTACCTCATTCCTAGAAATTAAATAACCGATGGTTCCATACTTTGGCCCCCACACCTGAAAGTTCTATTTTGTCACAGTACAATGACAATGGATAATGACTTTGTGGCATGGCGGGTCTATGGCACTATGTGGATTTTCTTTTTCAAACCTCGCATAGTAGCAGTTGAGGTCAAGACCTTTCCAACATAATTTTGCATTAAAGCTTGCATGCCAAACACGTGGCATAAGCATAATCAATCTGTCTTAAAGTTGACCTATAAATGATAATATGGAGCCCTGATAACTGCATGTAACCCTGATACAAACAGATTTAAACTCTGTTGGCTTATTGTGATCATTACAAAATGATTATTATTGCTGCAGTATTTTTACTTGGCTTTATTTTTGCCTATTATTTGCACGTGAAAAGAAAACACGAATTTTGGCAAGATCAAGGAGTACCACACCCAAAACCTGTCCTTCTTTTTGGTAATATTATAAAAATGATCACTCTACAATGTACGTTATCCGAGTTCTTAAACAGCTTGTACAGGTACGTACCGTTGGAAAGGGTGCCTACTTTCTTATATTAAAAACGCAATTACAGGAATTACCAGGATTCTCCGTTTGTCGGGTTTTACAATTTTTTAACGCCAGCGATTGTCCTAAGAGATCCAGAAGTAATTGAGTATTGTCTCGTTAAAAATTTTGACTCTTTTTCTGCTACCTTAATCCGACCTGCCGATCCGATCGTTAAACTAAATCCGTTCTTCTGCGAAGAACGAATGTGGAAGGCACTGAGAAAATTGCTGGCCCCTAACTTTTCAAGCCTAAAGGTTTTTATTAATTCAAATAAAGTAGCTTGAGTAAACACTTACTTGTAGATTAAGCTAATGCTGGATCGCATGGAGAGGGTGGGTAAAAACATGACGTCCTACTTGGAAGGCAACAACTGCAGTATCCGCGCGGATGAATTGGCATTTATGTTTACTGGGAATAATGTAATGGTTTGCGCCTATGGGGTTGATAACGAATCATTTCTAAGTAACAGTTCCATGATGAATGGCATCAGAGATAGTATGTCGATGGGTACAATGCCAATAACTCACACTCTGGGATTATTTTTTCCAAATCTATGCAAAATGCTGAATATCTCGTAAGTTATCTTCACGTGAGGACTTAAAACTCTGTGTTTAATTAAGGTACATGGGTAAGCAGGTGCCCGAATCGTTCAAGAATCTAATTGCAAGAGTTGTAGAAGATCGAAAAGTAGACAAAAAGGAGTTTGTTGACTTTTTGAAAGAGTCCAAAATGAAGAACGGTCAGTAGATCCACGTAATTCACTTGTTCTTCATTTATCCACTGTAGATCTCACATTCTTGGGACACGCAATGGCCTTCTTCCTTGATGGGTACGAAACAAGCGCAAATTTGCTCACCTACGCACTTTTAGAATTGGCAAGAAATCCATCGGTACAAATTCAAGCACAAAATGAACTAGATGATATAAACAGCGCCAAAAAAAGTATATACTCATATGAAGCTTTAAAAGATATGTCCTATTTAGAAAGCGTTGTTTTCGGTAAGTATTCCAGCCACTTGCACCCTTGTTCATTCGTTTTGTAACAGAAACGCTGCGAAAACACCCGGTGATCAAATTTTTGAACAGAAGCTGTACAAACGAATGCTTGATGCCTTTACCAAATGCACATGGGAACGAAAGATTTGTTCGAATCAAAAAAGGTACGCAAGTATTTATACCAGTTGAGGCAATTCATCGAGATGCCAAATACTATCTTGACCCACATCAATTTAACCCTCTTCGCTTTAGTGAGACGAGCAGTAGCGGAAGAACTAAACATACCTTTTTAGGTTTTGGGTACGGACCTAGAATCTGTTTAGGTAACTATCCAGAGCGATCCACCTTTGTAACACTTATTTTTTAGGCCAACAATTCGCAGTTACACAACTAAAAGTAGCACTTGCATCTATTTTACTACATTTCACAATTAGCATAAATGATAAGACAACTTTTCCTTTAAAGAAGGTGTTTTACCATTTGACTAAATTTCCAAAAAATAAAATATGGTTAAACTTTACAGCTAGACACGTAAATGAACTTTAACACAAAATATAATTTTTGAATTGTGTTATTTACTATGAGTACTGAAAAAGTGAAAAGAATATCCAAGTTGCAACCCAGCATTCTGGAAATTTTCACTTTGAAACTAGTAATTTCTGGTTTTAAACCAGAATTCTGAATTGATTTATGTAAGATATAGTTTTGATTTCCATCCCAAAATAAAAAATGGGCTCTTTTGGTCAGTTCCCCTCTGTTTTAAAAGCTATCGGCGTGTTTGGATAATTTTCTTCATCGTGATCTCTAGGCTTGCACCAAGAATTCTTTCTAGAGTACGTGTTAAATTTTAGTTGTAAGGCTCCAAATTGTAATCTGTAGAGTCTAGATTTTGCTGAATCGACTAATTGGATATAATTTTGGTCATCCCTTTAGACCATCAAGTGCGTCAAGAAAAATTGATGTCGTTTTAGGGGAGCGATTTTTTTTAATCTTTGAAGAGCAATGGAATCAATTAGAAAGCCAGATGTAAAAATCTCGAGTACGGGAAAATCGTATACCCTCTCAGCAAAAGCAGTAGAAAGCGAATACTCAATCTTGTCAGTGCAATTTAATGTTATCGCCGAGATAAAGAAATGTAATCTAATTACTAATTTTGTTATAAAAACCGCAAAACGCATTTACGTAACAAATGAGAGAGAAGTCCATATTGTAATATCAAAAACCCAATTGCTCTATCGACTTTGTTTGATGAAAACATCTGATTTTCAAAGAAGGTTTGTTAGAATGCAAATACGTCCTTGGTCAATTCTTCACAAGCAGTGCTCTTCCATCTTTTTTAAAGGGTAGAAAATCGGGTACTGTTTTTAAACATAAACACCTACACATGAACTTATTTTTTAAGGACTAACCTTTAGACAAGTACTTAAAGGAAGTGTACAAGAAATTTCGTGAATTCTAATGACTCTCATTGTTCAGCCAAGAATTGTAATCGTATTTTTTAAATATTCAAAAAATAATTGATGAATAATAGATAAGAATATTTCTTTCAAAGACTAACGCATACAGGCATACAGAATGTTCTACATTTCTGGCATCAGAAATAGTAGTTGCAATTTGAAAAAACTGAAATTTTTGACATTTTTTGATTACTAATTATCGAAACAGCTCTTGGAAACTTTTTCAGATTTTTAGTGACCACTCAAAAAGTTATTTAGACTTTAAGGATTCGATTATAAATAATGATCAAAGTCCTAGTATAAGACCGAAGGGACTTCAGCGCTTTTATGTGTGGCAGATCGGTATTCCTGCGACGAACTTGGACTGTTCGCCGTTCGCGCATAGTCGGTGATCTGGAGGAATTAAACCTAATTAGTTCAATTATTATTGGAAGTTAATTTCATTAAATATATTATGATACACAGGGTGTAATAATTCATCAAGCGGTAGTCGGCTGTAGAAAACGGCGAAACGGCGGTACAGGGAATCGACGGACGGACGGACTCGAGCGCCACCAGACAAAAACCTCGCGCCAGGACGAGGTCGTCGGTAACCACGGAAGGACGGGTCGGTCCCGGTAGCCCCGGAGATGTTAATTCTAGGAATTCTGCGGTCAGGTCCAGCAAAATGGCGGCGGTAATTTCGGTAATCCTAAAACAAAATATGGCCTACGGCCCTGACGGTGATTTTCCTTAATTAATAACGGTTGATTATTCAGCGGCAAAACGGTGCAAAGCTAAGTAAAAGAAAGGGTATGTTAAGCTTAAGGCCAAAACTAAATAAAACGATAATAATTAAAAGGCATTCTTCTACGGGCCCACATTTACTGATAGCCAGCCAGCCAAAATGAAATTAAAAGCTACATTTTTACAAATAAATTTGCACAAATGCGCTAAAAAGAGCACTCACTCATCTTTAACGGTTTAAGGGATGCATATAAAGTTTTCTGCATCTCCAAATCTTTAGAGAAAGCTTGACTTATGTCAAAGACTATGACAGATAGGTACTTAATTTTGGAATGCGCTGAATACAAAATAAAATGGAACATTTATGCCCTCTAAGGGTAAGGCTTAAGATATAGAAACGAGTTTGTGGTTGGTCGAAATTATTCGGTTGCTTAGTAACGTTAAACTTAAAAGTCATGTTGGAGAAACCCACCATTAGAAAAAGAAGTAGTAAATCAGCATAATGCACGATTAAAGAACATTTTTGGTAATACAGATCAGTATTTTATTAGCAAAGTTTAAAATTATCTATCTCATGAGTAATCTAACTCAAAATAGACTAGAGTCTACACATCTACACGATGGTAGAAAGCTTTTAGTGAAAATTTGAAGTCTCTAGCTATTGTAATTGCTGAGATCTCGAAAACTTCTAACGAATATGCTATGTGCAATGCGTATTGTGTATCCCTGTATGCCGCAATCAAAGAATGGGTAAGGTAGGTTACGTATCAACGTAATATAGCAGGAATAGTAAGGAATATCCTGCCACCTGGATGAGAATGGCACAAACTGCTCATTCTATAAATTGTTTCACCATAATCGCCTTCATTTGCTGTAGACAGTAAATACATACTAAAACCCCTTAGGAAATATTTCCCTTCTATAATTATGCAACATGAATTAGGTATCTGAATTGAAGTACATTAGTGCACTATATCTTTGATCTAAACAAAGGTAAAGTAGAAAACGCTAAACGCGCATCAGCGGCAGTACAGATTGAGAAATTCAGGGAGGTATCTTTAAACGAAATCTGAAATACGACTTCTATTTTCTTGTACCTATGGAAACATTACATTTTTATAATAATGGTAGTTCTGCTATTTCCCTGTGCCGAGAACTGGAATATAGAATGAAAGCTTTATTCAGTACCTATACGCATGGACACGTGAAATTTCGAGAGATTCCTAACTGGAAACTACAGAAACAATTCGTACGTTTCTGTAACATGGATTATTTCTTTTCCTGCAATGCGTTATTGATCATATTCCACATCAAATCCTCGAAACAAGACCAGATATTGTTTATATGTGCACTGAACGAACACTAATTCGACAAGTCAAAATTACAACTGCCCTTTCTTGTAATGAGTAGATAACCTTTCTGCAAACAGTTTCTACTAACTAATGAAAAGAAAGAAGTAAGTTTTAAGGATTTCGTTAGAATTGAAATAAGCACAAAAACTGAATCAGAATTCAAAATTTATAGTTTGGCTTAAAATTTTATCCAGATTATGATTTGCAAGTACCCAACTTGTCACGAAAGTTTTAGAGGTTTCTGCATTAAGTTTCATGAAAGGAACAGTTAGTAGCTATAATGGTCCTCAGGTTACAAATAAAAGAGTGGTCCAGTAATTCTTTCCAGTCGAAGGTTTGCTAAAGCTTATATTGGTATCTTGTAAAGGTTATTTCTCAGGATCCGGGTGTAAATTCTTCTGTAGATCTCTTTGACTTGATATGTTGCCGTACCCTTGTAACTTACCTATTTCGTATGTTTGCTTCTAGTTAGCTCCGGTAAAAAATGGTATAAATTAAGGAAGTTCATTCCACTTTCACCGGTATCTCACTAATCGTCATCAAAATGTAATCGAAATTTGGAAAAATACGCATACCCCAATACATTTTGGAGAGCTTATGTCATTTTCATTTGGGTTTTTCTTTAAAACATAAACTCCTTTTCATTTCCCTTTTATAAGAAGCAAAAATTCCAAAAAAATTATTAAAATGTATATACCTAAACCTAATTGCAATAGAAATAAACTTATTATTGAAAGATATTCTAACCTAATAAATAAAGTTGATTCTGTATTAATTTCATTCACTTTATTTCGCAACAAAAGGTAAGTAATGGAAAAAATGTACCTCCTTAATTAATGAAGCAAGTCGCTGACCTCCAAGCGGATGGAAATTTTCAACGTCTCGCATATCACTTCCGCGAATCTCCTGTCGGGAAAATTGTGGGTAGCGGTTCAGGATCCCTGGATATCTGCACTACACTGGATATCTGGGTGCGAATTAAAATATTCCTATCGCCATACGATATTTGAAATTTAATCTCAAATACATTCTACACTATTAAGTCACCTTACCATTCAAAATACACTCTAAAATCCAACTTGCCTATCTACCGAAAAAGTAATACAAAAATGGATATTTTGATGGACATTGAGCCATTTCAATGTTCCATTATACAGGATACGACGGTGTACTTCTGGTATGATTCAACTTGGTAAAGCTAAAACAAAAATGCGTACTAAATATGTAAAATCTCGTTCATGGTTCCACTATGCACTATGTAATCAACGATCTATAGCAGTTTTGGGGCTGTATCCGTACCAAGAAAAGTACCACTCGTATTCCGGTTGCTGTCATTGATAGCTTTAAACAATACTTTAATAGTGTATAATCAACTCCCCAGGGCTTCAATATCTAGTAGCCATTTGTTCTACGATCATCTTCAAAGCAGATCGTCTTTTGTGAGATAGGTACAGTTTTCCATGAGTCCGCTTCTCAGCTAGGCGGCGCTTCCGTTGGCAAACTTATGGGGAGTTGATCCAGTGCTCTTTAGTTTTTATTCTACCTGTGTATTTGAAATTTGGTGTATCTTTTCCTGTCTGCGCCGTTCAACTTACTTTTCGTTGTGGAATTTGAATTGTTAAATTCAAGACCTATTGACCCATTCGGATTTACCTGGTTCAACAAGTGAACTTGACCTGTTTTTATTATTGTTGTGCTTGATTTTTAATCATCACGTCCTTTTGCATAGGTAAGTAACTCTTTTAGGTAGTAGATTTCAATATTAGATAATATTAGATTCATGACTATTTGACATAAAACGGGATCATATAGAATTTGCAAACGGGAGTGTGATCGTTTTTAGTTCATGAACAATGGTAGCTTCTTTGGCAAGTTTTTCAGCATATTCATTCCCCAGAATGCCAACACGTACAGGAACCCAGGATGTTCGAATGAAATTTGTAAGTTTTTATGTCCCAAACTTCCCTATATATTTTTGTTATCGTGACATAACCCCTCTTGAATTTCATTGACACGTAAAACCTTATGTAAAAGAGACCTTCGACGAGTTTTATGCACCTACACTTTGTACTATGGAAATAAACCACGGTTTTTCTTAAGTTAACATAGAATATTTGGAAGTTTTTTGGCAAGTCAGCAATTTTATTGTTATTAGTGCGTTTAATAATTTTTTTGGTTTTCTTTATTTCAATTTCGAATGTTATCAAAGTAAAGAATTTTCATATTTATCTTGTTTACATTTTGAATTAGTTCGATTGCACTGTTGTTTCTAGAAATTTAGTTATTTGTGCCTCATAGAGTAGTTTTCATTAAGTTAAAGTCATGTTCATGCTTTTTTATATACATACCTGAATTGTACGAGCAACCCGTGTTCGAGTCAAAATTTTGCTCTTGGTTGGTTAACGTAAATTGAATTATTGATTCTTATTGAGTACGATTTTGCCTTAATGTCGGACGTTGGAATTGCTGTCGCAACACTATTGTGCCACGCTATTCACTACCCCTCTTGTTTGTTTTTGTTGTTATCTGTTACAGATTAGTAGTCCAGTCAAATTAGCTCTAAAAGTAGTATAAACTGGATGTTGTCATTTCACTGAACGAAACCAAGCGTATTCTATGTAAAAAAATCCGCTGAATCGGAAAATCATAGTCCCCCGGCCGGAAACGCCCGGAACAAATTGTTATAAACAAAAAACGAAGAAAAAATGGGAAAATGTCGTGTTTTTTCACATTTGACTGCCAATATCTCGTTAACTATTGCTCTGAGGGAAAAAATGAATAGAAATGAACTTGTTTAGAATAAAATTTTCTATAAGATACAGTTGGTCCAGGACGCTCATTTTCAACTGTTATTGTTTTTTAGGGAAAAATGTAAAAACAGTAATCACTAAAATTAACACTTTGTTATTGTTAAGTAAAATTCATTCGATCTTTTTGAAAATCCGTATTTAGTAACTACTTTTGATTACAAAACAATGTGACAAACCAGATCACCGTAGGTTTCATACTCATTGATTAATTAGATAAACAAGTAGAAAAAGAGATCTTCGTCTTTCAAACTGGGGGAGTACAAGAGTATTCTCAATTTTTTTATACATATTATAACCCTAAAACAATCTTTTCCAATAATTGTCCCGATGATTCCTTCAAATCGACGGACTGTGCAATTTTTTTTTCAAAATCCGACGAATTTTCTTAGTTAAGGACGGCATTCATGAGAACCAATAGAGGTCGCCACTGACAAATTGCATTGTAAAATTATATCAAACTTTGAGAATGACTCCTGGGCTTATACAATCATTTTTTAGCTTGGTTTTTGAAAATATAAATTCTACATACATTACTCTAGAGCGACTGTATAAAGGTTTTACTAGAAAGACAGTAATTACTACAATATTGCTCAAATGAAATAAGACGACACATTTTATTTTTTATTTTAAGCAATTGTTGAATTTTAAAGTACAGTCGCTGTAAAACTGCTCCTCCTCTTTCAATATTGAAAGTTTTGTCATTTAAAACCCAATACTGCAGCCAGGAGTCATTCTCAAAGATTTCATTTTTAAAAAGTTAAATCAATCACAATGGCGGCAAGCAGCAGTAGTGCAGCTATTTATTTCTAGATGTCGCTAAGGTACAACTTAACTTGGCGCGCGTCTGTAAAAAAATATTATAAAGGAACTGCTGCAGCCGATTATGATGTCATTGAATACAATGAAAGGTTGTTTGTCTAAAGACGAGTCATAAACGCGACCAATGCCAACATTCCTTTCTCGTTTACCAAGATAAAATGACATTTGTGATTTGAATGTGCGTGGGCGACCCTCCGGAAAAGAAGACAGGTAGTTAAAACCGTTTGGAAATTTTACATACTGGTGTAACGCTGCCCTTATCCTGTCTATCCTACGACGTGCATTTCCGTAAAATCACAGGGGTGCAAAAATGCATTTATTATCTTCGTTGGCGCAGAGACCAGATCTACTGTCCAAATTCTCCGGGTATGCTCAGGAGTAGAGATCATGGGGGGCGGGGGTGAATTTTCAGTAAAAAAAATATGAATTGCCCCGAGTAACGATTTTTCACGGTTAACTTTACATCACTGCACCCTCGTAGCGCCGCCCCTGGGCATCCTCTGTCAATTTCGAGGGCACAGATGGACTCTACGCCCCCGATAACCCCCGAGTAGGATTTCTCCAGCTTTTCATATAACGAGCGATCAAAAAAGGATTGACAATCGAGTCGCCGATTTTCTGGGTGATATAATATTTGTAACCACTGGAAATATGGCTTTTATTAGCTTAAAGAAATCAACTAGACAATTAAATTAACTTTGACAATAACGATAAATGACTATCAAATGATAACTAGATAAAATATCATATCATTCTTCCCCTGTAGAATTTTCTTCTTCTGCAGAATTTTCTGCCCGTGTAGAATTTTCAATTCCACTTTCTACAACAAAGTTTTGAAACCGCGAGGGTGGCCTTCTAATTCGAGTAGACCTTCTAACCTCTTGTTCCGTCGAAGATCCATCAGAAGTTTGTAATTCTTGTGAGGCCTCAGTCTCTGAAGTTTCAAGACTAACGTCATCTTCACCCTCGTCAACGTTGTTTGGGAAGGGCGCTAAATGACGATTTGTCACGGTTGACATTTCTCCATTAGCTCTTCTAATTAAAGAGTAGTAAGGATTACTCTCGATAAGTTCAGCTTCTTCTACTACGGGATCAGTCTTTGAGTGACGGACATTCTTTTTTACTAGAACAGGTCCAGGCGTTGAAAGCCATGATGGTAGCGAATCCCCGTTTGGTGATCTTCGAGGGTACGTGAATAGTTTTTCATGTGGCGTAGCATTAATCGATGTACAAAGAAGTGATCGGATACAATGAAGGGCATCTTTAAGGACTTCCTCCCAGTTTCCAATTGACAAACTCTTTGAACGTAGACTGAGCTGAATAGTACGCCAAAGTGTTCCGTTCAAACGTTCCACTTGACCATTACCCTGTGGATTGTATGGCGTCGTTCTTGAGGATGCAATGTTTGAGTTTTTTAGGAAATTTTTAAATTCTTCAGACATGAATGAGGTTATCTGTCGCTGTGTATGTAAAGAGGCTGGCCAAAAGTGAGAAACAGGTCTTTCAGGCATTTAATGACTGTGGATGAGGTCATATCTTTGCATGGGTAAGCGAAGGGAAATTTGCTATATTCATCGATAATCGTTAAAATATATTTGTTTGAAGAATTAGAAGGGAGAGGACCTTTAAAATCAATATTAAGGCGTTCGAATGGAGACGTAGCCTTAATTAGTTGACCTTTTGCTTTCAAAAATCTTGGCTTAATTTCAGCGCACGTTGGACACAATGCAATCATCTCTTTTACATCATTTGCTATATACGGTAGGTTTTTAGAGCGTATCCAATGGAACATTCTACTTACTCCAGGATGGCAAAGCGCATTATGAAGCTGTTTTAATTTGTCGGTGTTCATGTACGCACAAACTCGTGACAGAGCGTCTGCTGTTGTGTTTTCCGAACCTGGTCTATATATAATGTCATATTTGTAGCAGGATAGCTCTAGCCTCCAGCGCATTATCTTCTCATTTTTAATCTTGCTATTGTGATTTTGATTCAACATGTACGTTACTGATTTTTGATCCGTAATTAAAAGAAAGTGTTTTCCAATCAGAAAATGTCTCCATTTTTTAAGACTTTCAACAATTGCACAAGCTTCCTTCTCTATTGATGAATGTCGACATTCTGGATTAGAAAGCGTTCGAGAGAAGAAAGCGACTGGACGACCCTTTTGCGTAAGCGTAGCGGCTATAGCAAAATCCGAGGCGTCAGTTTCAACAGTGAAAGTTTCATCATCATCTATTGCTATAAGAGCAGCTTTCTTTATGTCTGATTTAATCTCTTGGAAGCATTTTAGAGCATCAGGCGTTAAAGGAAAACTTGAAACACAAGTTAAAGGTTTTATCTTCTCCGAAAATCTTTCAACCCATTTCGCATAGTGGGCGAACATTCCCAAAGCGCGTTTGAGTTCTGAGGTTTTAATGGGAGCGGGAAGTTCTAAAAGGGGTTTCAATCTCTCAGCGTCTGGTTTGATTGTGTTATTTTCGACAGTATAGCCAAGTAGATCGATTTTTGTTTTCTTAAAAACACATTTTCTTTCATTTAGTGTTAAGTTATATTTTCTCGCCGCATCCATAAACTTTTTTAGATTACGTTCATGTTCTACTCATCTTTACCACATACTGTCACGTCATCTAAGTATACAAATGTACCTTCTAGTTTCTCTCTGGTTATGATGAAGTCTAGGGTTCTTTGAAACGCTGCTACACCATTGGTAACACCGAATGGAATTCTTGTGAACTGGTACAGTTGCCCGCAGGCTTCAAAAGCAGTGTAGACTTTCTCTTTATCTAAAATGGGCATTTGATGATATGCGCTTTTTAAGTCGATCTGGCTGAAGATTTTGTATTTTGATACTTTTGAGACCACCGCTTCCATGTTTGGTAATGGGAATGCATCCAATTCTGTAATTTATTAATAGTCATAGAGTAGTCTATTACTAGACGTTTTCGATGAGCGCCACCTCCCGCTACTAGGACTTGTGCTCTCCAGGGAGAAATGCTTGGTTCTATTACACCGTCTTCCAGTAATTTTGATATTTCTTGCTTGATAAATTCTTCGTCTTGTATACTGTATCGACGACTCCTTACGGCGATAGGTCTGATGTTAGGTGACAAATTAGTAAAAATAGATGCTGGTGGCACCGAGGACTGCATTACGTTGCAGATGCGTAATGGTTCATGGGGACCTCCCAATTCAAATTCAATTTTAGAATGTTCTTTTAGTAGGTCGTGTCCAACGATCACGTCCGCGCAGAGATTATCGACGATAAGAAGTGGTATTTGCCTGTAGTTGTGTTTATTCATGGTGATATTGGCAAAGCAAATACCTTCGACAACCGATACTTGATTCAGCGAGGCTAAGTTAACAGACTGTGTACATGGTTTTTGACGTAACTTCATTAGGCGCGCGATTTTTCTGTTTATAAAACTGACAGAACTGCCAGTGTCAACAAGAGCATCAGCTTTATAACCATTCACCGTGATTAGAATAGTTGCACCTTTCAAGCTTGACGGTGAAGCGGCAGATATTGTACTACAGTGAGATGAACCGTCATCGATAAGACTGTTGACTGTGTTTTTGAACGAAGCCGAGTTGTTGGTAGCGTTTCGTGATTTACATACATTTGAAAAATGACCTCTTTTAGAACACAGGTTACATATAGCACGGAAAGCTGGGCACTTAAACCTTTGATGTACGTTACCACCACAAAAGAAACAACATCTTACTGATCGTGAGGATGGTTCAAGTATTGTTTGTGATGGTCGGTGTTGTGTAGCCGCTGCTATGTTTGATGCTGTATCTTGTTTTTGTTCGTATATAGCATTAATTTGTGGTGAATTGTTACTTATTATTAGCGCGTCCTTTTCAGCTGTTTCAAGTGCAATAGCTTGATCAAGTGCTTCGGCAAGAGTAAGTTTTTTATTTTCTAGCAGGCGTTCTTTGATTTTACGAGAAAGCAAACCGGAGATCAAGGTGCTACGGATTGCTTGTTCTTCATGTTCTTGAGCGGTAACGGTTTCGAAAGAGCAATCTTTTGCCGCTAAACGTAAAGCTCTTACGTAGTCAGAGATGTTTTCATCCGCACGTTGTTTCCGGTTAAAAAGAATATGCCTGGCTAGAATTATATTTTTAGGTTTAATATAAATACCTTCTAAAGCTGCAATTGAGGCTTCGTAAGTTTCGCAAGTTTTGATATGTTTGTAGATTGAAGCTGATAGGTGATTTACTAAGAGCTTGCGTCTTAATGCATCTGGTATTAAATCAGTTTTTACTTCTTCATTCAAAAAACTTTCGAACGTTGACCTCCAGTGCTGCCATTGTGCATCCGCTTCTGCAGCATCAGGTTCGACATCAAATTTGTCAGGACGTAAATACCTCGTGATAGGAAAACTAGTTGACGATGGGTTTTCGTTAATCATTATTTTAAGCTAATAAAATTGATATAATATTTGTAACCACTGGAAATATGGCTTTTATTAGCTTAAAGAAATCAACTAGACAATTAAATTAACTTTGACAATAACGATAAATGACTATCAAATGATAACTAGATAAAATATCATATCACTGGGTAACCAAAAATTCCAAAGGTTGCTCGACACAACTCTTCTTTGATCGCATAGTATGAAGTATTAGTGAAAATAATGATTACAAATTGTAGGTATGACAAAATAAGCAAAAACAAACAGTTTTTTGTAAATAAAGCAAATTCCCCTATGTATCCTTTAAATTCCCACGTCAAAGAAATATTACAATATTAACAAATGAACGTCAAAAATTTTATTTGCGATTTCGACTGCAGAGCGAGAGCAGAAGGGCTAAGTATTTGAACAAAAAAACATGCCTTGAATTTGTTGAATTATAACCTCTGGTAATAGTGCATAATCGGTTTTTGCGTGTACCTTTAATGTAATTTAATCTCCGAAACGAATCAATAGAATTTAAAAAGCAAAGCAGATTAGTAAATTGGCTTTCAAATAACGTGCCATTTGCCATAGGATTCCATTTAAAATTTTAGGGGTTAAGCTCCCTACGTAGAGGGGTGAAGACTTGGGTTCGTGATTTGTATTCCAAAAGTTGTCCCCCTCGAATACAAAATTGACGTGTTCGAGGATTTTTCGAAATTTCTAAATTTAATACCCTATAAAAGCCCTCTGTATACTTCTCGTTGGGCCACTCTGTATGTTTTAGATGACTCTCCGTTCAATAAAACTCGTTGCGTTCTATCACTCATATACTCACGAATACTCTTAACGGCAGTTCAAAGCCTATGAAGTTCAAGGTGGAGAGAAGCACATTATGATTAATTCTATCAAAGGCACTAGAGCAATCCAGCAGCACAAGCATGATAAGATTGTTCCTGTCAACAGCAGTCATAATGGCGTCAGATACATGCAATAAAGCTGTAGTAAAACTGTGGTTGGGTCTGAATCCAGATTGCAAAGCAGGTGAAACCTTTTTAGCATTTAGGTACAATCTTATTTGTCCTGCCATCACCTTTTCAAGAACCTTTGACAGACAGGGCAAGATGCTGATAGAACGTAAAGTCAGTGAATTGCTTGGGAATTGATTTTTGGGAACATATGGAAAAGTATTGTGCATAAGGCACTCATTAATTATATGAGTGATAATATCAATTAAATACGAGATACACAAGTGTAACATACGAAGGCTTATCTGATCATCAACTGAGTGGGACTGCAAAACCGAAATGCATTTCAATACTTCACCAGCAGTGACCTTTTGGAAATAATTGTTGTAGAAATGATTAGATCATTAGAGGTATTGTTTATCAGAGGTAAACTATTAAAAGAACTAATTATTTTTTCATCACAAAGCTCTTGCAGAATATGGAATTTATTACGTTTATGGATATCTGCTCGTTTTAATTCTGTCCAAAACCGCCTTAGTGTTATTATTACGCTGCCGTATGTATTTTGTGTTCCCGAAACGCCCTTTTCTCACTGTTTACCGCAAAGTTTACATAATTCCGTATCATTTTGTAGTAATCCCATGTGTGGTTTTTTTAGATTTTTTATATCTATTTAAGGCCTTATCTCGCAAGGTCATCATCAGTTTAAGGTTGTCAGTAAGCCACGGTGCATACGGTTTTGTATTTGTTATAATTCTGACGCAAATATGTCTATCAAACAAACTGCAAATACATTGATTAGAAAGACCAACTATTACGTACAAGGTATTCTAAGGAACGGATTTTAGATCTTTATCAAACCTTATAATGCCAATATTACTGAAATCCCTGTATGAACGCATTACTGTTTTTGATGGCTGAATATTGGCAAGCCTATACAAAATACCAGGTGATGATCAGACAACTCATGTACACTACATACTCCGTAATCATATATCTTACTTGTATCGCCCACTACAATACAATCAATGAGACTACCACCTAATTGGGTGACTCTAGTTGGTTCGTGAATAATTTGGTCATGTCCTAATGTTTGCAGAAGAGTTAGACGCCAATTGTCGATTTTGCATGAACTTCCAGCAAATTAATGTTAAAATCTCCCATATAAATTATTTCATCCCTTGATTTTTGCAAACGGCTATCAAGATAGAACCTGGGGTTACTCGTGGGTATACTTTCTGGGCACTGCAAACTAAAAAACACTTGCACCGCATGGGTTTGGTAGAATCACCATCTTTTAGAGGATGTTATACACATACGATGAGACGGGACACCACATACTTTGGGAATGTCCCCCTTCAGTCTAACTTAAACGATCAACGTTGAGGGTATCCTGACCGTACGGTTGGAGCCACCTTCCTTTCCAGCATCGTTAGGTTCATCTCACGTGTGGGATCATGGGATGGCTTGACTGACATTGAGGGCTTGAACAACTCTAGTCCTGGAGGTAGTACAAATGCTTCGAATTTGAAGCCTAGGTTCCCGAGGACCCTGTCCATCATCTTATGGTAATCCAATATCTAGGATCCACCCTGACTCATCTCTACTTTCCCTGGGTGCTTATCTCAAGGTAAATATTGATTATTGTTACTCTTGCTCAAAGTGAACGTAATGTTTAAAACGATACTGAAACAATGTAGTGAAAATATTTGAATAATTCTATGAGAACTTTAGAGAAGAATCCGGCTTTAGGCTTGAGGGGTTTTTGGAGGAAGTATTAGCAAAACACATTAAGAGGCCGTAAAGAAAGTTTGGGAAAGTTGAGTTGATCATTTAATAGTTTATTCAAGAGATTTGAAAACCGCATTTTGGGAAACCCTTTCAAAAATTTTAAGGATAACGGAGCATCTTGAAGGAAGAGAAAAATACTGACCTTTTATTTTGACAAATGATTATTTCTGAGCCTCCAGTTATGTTTATGATACTGAACTTTTCATAATCATGTTTAGACAAAATTATATTGCAATTCCGTCGGCTTAGTATAAATGTTTAAATAAAAGGAGAAAGTTTAATCTGTCATCTGGGAAAAACATTCATCTTACAATCTAACTTTCTTTCGCAAAGTGGATTTTACATAAAAAATATACGAATTTAGAATTTAGTACCTTTTCCAATGAAAGGTTTACCTTCAATGCCGCTTTCTAATGGATAGGAAATTAATCATGAAAAATTAGTAGTCAACTCGTTTCATTGAAATCACAATTAGGAAACAGTTTAACACGAAAACCATAACTTAACTTATATTGGGTTCTTCTCTTCGTGGTTCCTCAGAAAACAATCTTTAATTCGCTGATTTTTTAAAAGTCGATTGTTAACTGATATCGGTTGTCCATAACTTAACCTTCGCGGACTTTTTAAGAGGTCTAAGTATTTCCAAGCAAAAGTTCCGATCTTATGTGAACTACTCATTGACTTTTCCAATATTAATAACGTAAACTGACGCGTTTGCATTGCAAACTAATGGTGATTTAACACAACAACAAAAATCATTGATAACTTATCTTACAGCTTTATTTTAGTACAAAATTAAGTTACATAAATAATTTATCTAATACCTACATTTCTATCAGTTCCGATGCCTTTTATAAAAGTCTAACCAAATGCCCCCCTTTGCTGCCACTAATGACGACGTAGGATCGATTTGTAAAGGCTGAATCGTTCGACTATTTACACGAATTTCGAAATTTGTTACAATATGCGCAATCGCCGCTCGTATCTGACCTAAGGCAAACTTTTGACCTGAAACCATACGTTATGATGAAACCCGATTAAGTAATCGACTGCCCTTACCTAGACAAATCCGTGGCCCATCACTGAAAGGTAGGTATGTGCCCTTTACAATCTTCTCCTTATTCTCCTTGGTGAATCGATCGGGATCGAACTTTTCAGGATCGGGGTAATACTGCGGGTCGTAGTGTAAGCTGTGGATCGGTATGATTACTGGGGTTTTAGGTTCTATCTTGATATTTGGACCGGATCCTGTCGGTGATGGAAATTCAAATTCATCGGTGCAGAGCTTTGCAATAAACATGTCGGCTGGATGCATTCTTAAGCTCTCTAAACGTTACCGATTAGTTTAGCGAGATTTCGATTGGGGACTTACCTTGCAAGAATCTGTTCAAAAAGTCCAAATCGCGCAGAGTGTAGTAGTCAAACTTTCCGCGCTCTGTCAACGATTGCTCAATTTCCTCCCGTAGTTTCTTTTGATGGTGGGGGTTTGCGGCGATTTCGTACAATGCGTGGCTCAGAACGACTGAGCTTGTTTCGAAACCGTCCATGAAAAATCCGACTAAGTGAATGGTGATGTCTTCGTTTGTAAAGTTCTCCTCTCCCAAGCTTAGTTTGACGTTCTGCATGTTATTTAGGAAATCGTGCCTTATGATTCCGTTTTCTTTCCGGTAATTCATGGTCTGATTTACAATTTTTCGGAAGTAATCGGCCGCATCGTCAGGTACAAACCTAGAAAAATTGGTAAGGGAGGATTCATTTAGATCAGTTTCTTACTTAAGCTTGAGGAATAAAGCTAATGACGGCATAGCGAAGAGGAAGAATAGTTTAATGTTGGTGAAGAAGGAGGGTGACAATATCCTTTCCGCCATTGTACGAAATTCGGTGTTTTCGTGTTTGAATGAGTCTGCTTCCAACCCAACCGCACAACTCGCAACCACGTCCATTGTGAATCTTTGCGCTAACTCCTTGGCCTCAATCCCACTTTTCTCATTTTCTTTGGTCTCCAAGTACTTTACCAGCTTGTGACACACCTCTTCCATTAACGGAAACAATGGCTTAACCTAAATTTGTAGAACACGTAACGCTTTAAGTACCACAGAAATTTACAAAAGTACCTGCTTGCTGGTAAACGATGGCGAAAGTATACTGCGGTTATTCTTCCACTTCTCGCCGTGCACGAAGAATGGGTTCTTTGCAACTAAAGGATCATTTGCGTCATCTATCTTCAGATCATTCGCTTGGAAATGATTAAAGCTTTTGACTAGAACCTCCCTCACCAACTCGGGATCTCGAAGTATAACGCCAGGGGTTCGCATTTTGTAAAAACCAACGTACGCGAGATCCGTGTATTTTCTTAAAAATTAAGGTAAATTCAAACGAACTGGGTACCTACGCTATCACTTACTGGTAAATTTCATGGTAAATTTGTCCCAGAGACTTCGTAAACGTAAGCGATTCGCCTAAATTTCCAAAGATGACCGAAGCCGGAGGATTTGGTACCCCTTTCCTTTTCCAGTAATTATAATTACGTTTAAGAAACAAGTAAATGCACGTTAGTAGCACTAGTGAAAGTAAACAGGCGATGTACATGTTTATTTTCGTGAACAGTTCTGCCGACACTGATACGCTTCGCTAGGATTTTACAGTATTTATAGAGTGATCTTGGAGGATTGCGAAATGTTGCAAAGTTGAAGAAGTGCGAAGAGATCGTTCATGACGTTAACTATGAACTTTGCTGCTTTTTCTCAATAATCGGAATAATATTTACTTGCGCTGATTAAGATTTCAACAGAACAAGATTTTTTTTAAACAGATTAAACACACTAGAGGGGTGTGACATTGCTAAATGCGTTAATCTTATATCGAAATTACCGCAACTAAATTCACAGGTAACTAAATCCAAGAACGCGAAACAGTAACACGTATTGCATCATGCCACCTGGCTAATTACATGATACAACTTGATCCGGAATTGCAGGTAGCATGTATCCCAGTCAATCAGGAAATTATACGCGTTTAGCATTGCTTTTACTTATACTAAGGATATCTGCAATCATTTTTTGTGAAGCTCGTACTTGATTTTGTTTTGGTAGTTCACACCTATTATTATAATAGTAAGCAGTAAAATGCGTGTCCGTATCATTATTGTCTGATAACATAGAGGTCGTGCTTTCCTAACCATGGATTTCCAAATTTTTATCAAATTTGCACATTGAGCAATTCTATATACTAAAGCGTACAGATCATCAATGATACAATAAAATTAAAGTGGGATACCAGAAACGATGTTAAGGTAACAAGCACCCAAAGGATTAAAGGCCCTTACACTCCGCTACAATCGATTACTCCATTGCTATAATTACTTTTTGCATCACACTTGATGTTGTTATTGCTCCTAATTTACTCCAAATTATCATTATATAATTGTTTACGACTCCCCATTTAATAGAAAAAAAAATGCTATTATCATATTTCGATAATCGCAACATTGTTTTTCATATATTTTGGGGTTTGCTCCATTAAAATGAGAATCTTTTTTGTAATAATTTTCGTAATTAGACAGGCATTTAATCTTTTGGATAGTAGCATTTTCATTTTTCTTTAAATAACTTTTAATCGAGTCCGAATTTTAAAATTTGCTAAACGGAGTTTTAATCAGCACATAAAACTTCCCCAATTTTAGCCTAGCACTATATTCAAGAATAACAACCTCTGCCAAATGCCATGCAATTCCACCGTGTATAAGTGCAAAATTGACTACGTTTTGGATGCAAACGGGAAACATTAATTTGTCGAAAGGAATAATCGCCGAGCAATTGATCGATCGGTAAATTCATCATGATAGTTTTGTTAGCAATTTGTAAAATCTCATTAAAAGTGGTAATGCTGCGAACATTATCCAACTTTCATTTTAATATGCAATTATTTTCTGTTTTAGAATGACCGCGTACCTTCCTTTGTTAATTAGGTATTTTCCAATGTTAATATTTCTTTTGACGTTTGATTGATATTAGGTTTTTGGTTTTAAAACTTTAAAAGCAATTATCGCGAATGTTTCAAAAACAGTATGATATACTTTATAGCGTTTTTGGTCTTATATTCCAATTCAGGAATAACAGGAAACGAAGGTTTTGCCCTGGAAATTTTTTCAAAATTTTGACAGTAGATAAGGAATGGCCTAAGGATCAAAATCTATATCCTGCCAAAGGGCGCTTTCACCCTGGGGGTAGTTGTCACCTCACTCGGGGGTGGCAATTTTTGACACAGGAATAGATAGAAAAATTAATTCTAAGCAAAAAGTGTTCTATAGGTACATTTTTTTTTATGTTAATACTTCTCCAGTTATTCGCGCCCGAAGGTACGAGTTTTTCATAGAAAAGAACGATGTTTTTAATTCGTTATTCGCGAAAAACTTGGGAAGTATGCATTTTATTATGAAAACTGTAGAGAACAAAATCGAAGCTTTTAACAAAGAAAATGGTTTTATTAATAATTGCTGTATGATCAATACGAAACGAGTTGCGGCTCTTGTTCGTCAAACGTTAAATTAGAGAGTTTCACCGTCAAATAATGGCAAATGTATTTTTCGAGGAAAACTTGTAGAATACTTTTTAAATGCTTTGTTTTAGTTGTTTTGTTATTTAACATTAAGTATTATTATATTAAGATTCAATATATTATTACGTCTGTGCACACTCTATTATTTGTAGCTAATTCATATTGTCCTGTAATTGGAATGTTTGTTTTTCTGTTGGGCATTAAAGGAAATTTAATTTAATTTAATTTAAAGTATTTAAAAAAACCTTTTTTTTTTTAAATAAAGTTTAGCATAACTGAGTTACGATGAAAATAAGGTAGATCCGTACCTTTTTCAGCAAAAAAACAGCGCACGCAACCCTCTGATTACCACCCTAATTAAAATTAGTCCTTCCCTTTCTCCAGTTTTGTTTAATTACGTATTATTAATACATTCTAGAAGTGTGACCAGTTTGGAAGATTTAATTTTTAAATAATTGAGGCTAAAAGTGAATAATCGAATTTTGAGAAAAACGTCCTTCTCTCCAAAGTAACTACAAGGCAACTGGAGATACGTAAAAAATGCTGCCGCATCCAATTGTAGCTTTTTAAATTCCAAACAATTTCCTCGCCGGCAATTTTCTGTACGACAAAAATTAAGTGAAATATAGACGTTTAAAATGTGTAATGCACTTTCCACCATAAAAAATAAAGGAATTATGATTAAAAAACGATTCACAATTTTTTTTCAAATAATTCTGAAAGAACAAATCGGAGCATGATGATTTTCATGGCCGATATAGGTATATTTCGTATACTATATATACATCCATTCCATACACCTATACACTATGTGATGTATTTACAGGGCGATTCAAAAAGAATATCACTGCTTTGAAAATCTGAATTTTAATTAAACAAACAAAATAGAACCATGGGTTAATTTCAAATGAAAAGTGTTAAAGTAAGTTTTTTCCACTAGAAAATAGGTTCACAGATGTTCAATATGACCCCACTCGAAAGATATCGATACGATTATACGTACGCGGCTACCCGGAACTTTTCCCTTTGCACATATACCGGGTGATCGAAAAGTAGTGCGGACAGTTTGAATTTCCCGTAAAACTAAACATTTATAAAGTTGGTAACATACCAAATGTCATTTATGTAAAAGCAGTGGTTGATCAATTTAATCACTAATGCATAAATAAACTACCTTCTAAACGTGTTTGCCAATTCCTTAAGTGAAAAACATTAAAAACTAAAGCGCCCAATTTAAACTGTCTGCAGTTCTTTTCGATCACCCGCTACACAAACACTCCTCTTCTCTATGAACTGTTTAAAAACAGTACGTCACGTTTGCAAATTGCAATTCTGATATTTTGGATATACAGAGAGGGGTGCCACAAGGTAGCGTACTAGGACCCCTGCTATTTTTATTATATGTAAATAGCATTGGTAATGTCATGAGTAGTGATCACTGTATGTTTGCTGACGACTTGACAATATTAGCATCTAAGAATAACATGTCAGACATGGTAATTGACATGAACAAAACCATGCGATCTGTTCATAATCATTTAGATGATATTAAATTGATACTAAATAAATCCAAAACTTGCTTTATGCAGTTTTATACCAAGCAAAGCAAATACAGGGAAAGCGCCCTATTCAAAACAGGTGAAAAATCCATCGAACACGTCAGTGCATTTAAATTGTTGGGTTGTTACATTGACATGTCTCTCAACTGGAAGGATCACATTGCCTACCTGTGCAAAAAAATTGCACCAAATTGTTTTGCACTTAAGAGACTATCTCACATAACAAATAAGGATGTATGCAAAACCTATTATTACGCGCATATTGAGTCATTATTAAGCTATGCCGTTATATTCTGGGGAAATTCCTCAAATGTGGGCAGAGTCTTTATTGTACAAAAACGAATCATACGTTGTATGTTTAATATTCCTTTCCGTGATACTTGTAGAACAGCATTTGTAACAGAAAAAATTCTGACATTACCCTGTATATACATACTTGAAGTACTAAAGTTTGTTCGGTTGAATACACACAAATTTTGTCATTTAAATCAAAACCACTCTTATCATACGAGAAAGGGCTTTGACCTAAAATACCCGAATCACAAATTGGCTCTTTTTGAATCGAATCCCTTTTACATGGGCATTACACTGTTCAATAAACTACCGCCCGCGGTAAGACAATTACCGTATCATAAATTTGTCAAGACGATAAAACAAATCCTAGCTCTCAAAGCCTACTATTCCCTGGAAGAGTTTATTAGCGATAATTTAGGTATTAAGTAAATTAAATTAAGTTATCATAATATATTATGTTTATCAATATCATAGTTACATTAAATTATACTTATGATTTCTGACATGTCCTATATCTATTATAATGGATCACCTGGATTAATAAAAGCATTATTATTATTATTATTATATGGTTCGGTGTTTCTTGTGAGAACTCAGGTCTAGAGCCTGTTAAACTAATCGCAACGGATTAAATCAAGTAACGATTAGTGTATGGTCGGTGTTTCTTGGTGAGAACTCAGTCCTAGCCTGCGTTAACTAATCGCACGGATTACAAATCTAAGTAACGACTTCAGTGTCTGTGTCTGTGTCGTGAGTTATGTCAGGGTCTTAAAAAAAAAAAAAAAAAAAAAAAATGAATATATAATACACGACGTAGCATTGGACATCTAGGGATAATGTAATTCGTACTTACCATACATACTTATTGATGGGCACTAATACCATACTACTCTGATCAGGAAAGAGAAAACAAAAACAAATAAATCATATATTATAATGATCTCTGTAATTTTATTAAAAATGGAGCTTTAAATTGTGTAAGTGTTTACTTTGCTTTGCGTTTGGGTGTGAATACGAGTGGTTGTGATAATCTTGGTTTTGTTCTGTGGAAGAGGAGTTTTTGTTTTTTATAATTGTATTTATGGGTCTTTCTTGTTCCTGAGCGTCGTATTTTGGGTTGCTTGCGTGTTTTGGTGGAGATATTGCAGTAATTTTGTGAGCCTGCTGGTGCTTAAGGTCTTTTGCGTTTGGGTTGTATACGAGTCGGCGCTTCGTTATGGAGAAG